ATTTCTTTGATTATATTTTATATTTTATTGCAATACCTTTCGTGGACCTTTCATAGCATCGTAATGTTTATTTACTTTGCACGATAGGTAGCCGGTTTGACAGTTCAATAGGTAGACTTGGCTTCACTCTTGGCGTGACTCATTACGAGGGGCACGCAATAGCCTTTTTGACTGCGTTGGATTTAAAGTACAAGGTATTTAACTATGTAATTAAGTAATTAAAAATGAAAATTAAGTATGTCATGTAATTAAAATTAATTTCGCGTAATCAAAGCAGTGCCAGTGTAATTACTGTAATTAAAACATGTAGTTCAATTTGATTACGTAATTAATGTAATTAAAAATTAATTTTCTGTAATAAATGTAATTAAAGCTACACAAATGTAATTAAAAACGTACCCAAATCCTTATTCTTGAACTATTTAAAAAGGTTGAAGAAAACCCTTAACACATACTCGAATGAATTAATTTATTCAAAAACTCTTCTTACACCCTGAAATACGCATATTAATGTTTTTCTAGACTACAAACATGACCAATTCTGCGAATACTTATACTAAATTTCTTGGAGCACCATGCTAGTGTTGGAAACTGAAATAATCCACAATCGATTTCACTTTCGTTTTGTACGTTCAACATAATGTCGTATCTAGTGCACTTTATTCGTTGAATAATGCGCTTTAATGCAGAACTAGAATAAAATCGATTGTCACGAGTGGGTTATATCGGTTTACAACTCTAGCGACAATATACAGTGAAAAGGAAGTGATACTCATAATGAGGGCCGTGATTGCCATACAAATGAAATGGGAATCACTTAGTTGTGACGACAAGTCTTCAAATTTTACATTTCCTTAAATTCAAGCAATTCCTCGAGCAAATTTCCTCCCGATCAAAAAATGTTCGAATTTTAAGCCATGCTCGCAGCACAATTCGACAGATGATGATATTAGCTTGTGCCTGAATTAACAGATTCAATGGAAGATGTATTTGCATTTGCATTAATTTTCTGATGTAACGCGTGAATTCTTCGATTATTTCCATATTTCTTTCAAACTTAATATTATTATACTAATAATAATTAACAGATTTAAGGCAGAGTTCATTGACAAAAAAAATATAATCAGGTTTTGGTTGCAGACACTAAGATGATTCAAACCAATTGTGTGCTTTTATTTGTATTATCGTCAACATATGATCACATCCGTATTCAGAATTGACGCGATAGCACTTATGAAATTCGCCTCCCCATTGTTCATCTTTCCATGGGTCAACTAAACAATACTATGGGCAGAACTCCAAACCGATAGGAAACGATGAGTCCCATATGCACAGGACACGAACTGATCGTTACCGATCAACTTGACACACTCAAGTTATCCTTGCTGGGAAGACAATTGCATACCAGCTGCGATTTTTTCCCGGAAGTAGCGCAGCGTGTGAATGTCCAAAGTATTCACCAGCTCCAGTGTCCGTTCAGCTGTCTGGGATAGCAAATTTGAACTCTTAATATGGTCATTACCGACGGATTTTCGTAAAATAATGAAGTTTGATATGTCACACGAGGGGTTCTGGTTCTTATTGGGAGTTGGATATCTACCCGGGGGGGGGGGGACAATTAAATGGGGCTGTGGACTGTCTAAGACCATTATTAGCCGTGCAGAATCATGGAGTTTGAAGTTTGCCTGGGGACACAGGAACATGCCCGAGAGGGCTAGTGTGACCGTCGAGTCTCATTAAGGCTATTACCAGCCAAAGTTTGGAAAATCATGAATTTTGATATGTCGCACGATGGGTTTTTGGTTCTTGTTGAGAATTGACCACTTCTCCGGGGGCACCGGAACATGTCTGGGAGGGCTAGTGTGACCATGGACTCTCAATAAGACCATTACTGGCGTAGATTTGTAAAATCATGAAGTTTGAGTCGCACGATGGGTTTCGTTCTTGTTGAGAATTGGCCACTTCCCCGGGGGCACCGGAACATTCCCGGAAGGGCTAGTGTGACCAGGGACTTTCAATAAGTCCATTACTGGCCAAGATTTGTAAAATCATGAAGTTTGATATGTCGCACGATGGGTTTCGTTCTTGTTGAGAATTGGCCACTTCCCGGGGCACCGGAACATTTCCGGGATGCTCAATGTGATTGTGAACCATCGAAATAGCTGCCACTGGTCCAATTACATCGTTTGAGAGAAAAAAACATGATGTTCACCGTGTGTATACTTATTACAGAACAATAAAGTCGAATGCCGACCAAAAGTGACCTCAACGGGAACCGATATAACTCAGGAACCATGAATTGATCAAAATATTTTAAGATGTATTCATAAACTTCAATAGATTCAAGACAAAATTCAATTTGTTGTAAAGAAAAATATTGAGAAATTATGTTTTTAGAGCTAATTGATTTTTGAAATCTATGCAAATTTAGACGTTAGGCACGCAAAGGTTAACATAATTTTTGTAATTCTGGTTTCGTTCGCATCCACCAAATTAAATTCGTTATTTCTTAGGTTGAACCAGATAGCACAAACAAACATTCCTTTCATTGTCGCATTCTCCGGTGCTTTGACAGGGGCATGATCCAGGATATAGTTCATTGCCCTGCCAACGCCTCGGCAGTATTGAAATCCGACTACATTTCCAATCACGAACCGATCGTTGCATGTGAATTGGCACAAATCACCAACGTAGATTTCCTCGTAGGTCCCAGGAGATGTATGTTTATACACTCAAAGATAAATTAAATCAAAAAAGCTTAAAAAGTATGCAGATTCCCGCTTCACCTTATTGAGTCCGAGCCATGATTACTTCGGCAGTAGTCATGCATGATTAAAATCGAAATAATCTTCCCAGTATTAAATTTTAGTCTTTTTCAATACTGATATATAATCAAAAAAGATCAAAATTCAATCAAAAATTATTAAAATGAAATCAAAAATGATTGACATTTATTCAAGAAAAGATAATCTACAATCTAATCAACCATGATTAAACTAGGATTAATATCAGATGCTTATATTTTAGAAAGAGAGGATTAGTTTTTAATCATTCGATATGATTAAACGGAGTTTAATGTCAAATTGATTAAATTTCAAGCAAAATGGGAATAGTTCAATTTATCAGTGTAGGGTCTATTCTGAAGTCATAACAGCGGTACCGATACAATTTATCAGAGCTGACATTATCCTTAACGTAGCAAAAGGGCCTGTGAAATTTTTGTTTCACGGGCCAATAACGAAAGGGTCTAACGGTACGCTGGGGGAAATTTAAGTACATTTCTCGTTGTACATTAATGGAGTTAATCCCGCATAAACGCGAACCATAAATTGACCTTACCTAAAATGGTTAAAAATTGTTTATAATCCCTGCTAAACTTTAACTGAAATGGTTATGGAACTTTACATGAACGTTTAGTGATAAAGTTTCAACCTTATGTATTATGGTTTTTTGGAACTGGACCTTACAAATAATGGGTTGTTAAGAACCATTACCGTTTCAAATTCTTGTTTTCTCCATACATTTTCGGAAAGAGAACTATATTAGAACCTTTTAACTTATGGTTTGAGAACTTTAATGGCAATGGTTATGGTAGTCAGTAAGGTCCACGAATGGTTTTGTAACATCGATCAACTTTATGTGGAATATATCGCGAATTGGTTGCCTGTAATTTACTGATCACCAATTCACGATATATTCCACGTAAAGTTGAGCGATAATACAAAACCATTAATGAACCTTACTGACTACCATAACCATTACCATTAATGTTCTCAAATCATAAGTAAAAACGTTCTTATATAGTTCTCTTTCTGAAAATGTATGGAGAAAACAAGAATTTGGAATGGTAATGGTTCTTAACAACCCATTATTTGTAAGGTCCAGTTCCAAAAAACCATAATACATAAGGTTGAAACTTTATCATTAAACGTTCATGTAAAGTTCCAAAACCATTTCAGTTAAAGTTTAGCAGGGATTATAAACAATTTTTAACCATTTTAGGTAAGGTCAATTTATGGTTCACGTTTATGCGGGATGTACTTAATTTATGCGACTTGTAATTAAAACTGAAATTTGTACTTAAAAGTAATTAAATGAAAACATTTCCGACGCTCGTAATTAAAGTAATTAATCATGTAGTTAACTGTAATTATTGTACTTAAAAAAGGCTTGCGTAGGAGTTAAAGGTTATTGCGTGCCCCTCGACTCATTATACACCGACTCTAATCCGTACTAGAGTCGGTGTATAATGAGTCACGCCAAGAGAAAAACAGTTGAACTCGCATCACGGTTTTCGAAAGATTCTCATTCTTTTCACTTGGCAACAGAGGACTTCTACAACAACTTCAAATGACTTCTAGCGAGAGAAAAAATATTGCGGCTGTAGTAAATCATTATATCAGTGATTTTGTCAAATTATCTTAACAAAAAATTGTAGAAATTCACATTACTAATCAATACCGAGCGTATCCCATGACAATTTAACGCTCACTGCGTGTTTATGCTCATTTCTTTGATTATATTTTATATTTTATTGCAATACCTTTCGTGGACCTTTCATAGCATCGTAATGTTTATTTACTTTGCACGATAGGTAGCCGGTTTGACAGTTCAATAGGTAGACTTGGCTTCACTCTTGGCGTGACTCATTATACACCGACTCTAATCCGTACTTTAACTATAGAGGGCTTTAGAAAATCTTAAAGGCCCAAACGCAAAATAGACGGAAGCGGAACGGAAACGGAAAGTTTGACAGTTGTCACAAATGACATCAAGATGCCTAACCGAAGTCGATTTGATTCTAACTAGTTTTCAATCCGACAAGTAGGCTTATTCAGATCGGGCTTTTCCGCTGCCGCTGCCGTTCTGCTTCCGCTGTCGCTGTCCGCTTTTAACGGATATGAGTAGATCATACTCAAATTTAGGGTGTTTAAAATTAGCGTGTAAGAAAATGTGACAGCTGACACATCGAATGATAAAGAAGAAGAAGTAGCAGACAACTAAAATCAGATTTTCTTGTTTTTGCCGTTTTTGCTAGCCTTATCACGTTCTGCTGTGATTTTTGTAGTTTTTAATAAGAAAATACACCATGGACAGCAAACAGAAGGTGTAAGTAACAAAAAAGAATATCAAAAATGCAATATGTAAATAACATTTTCTTTCCCTACAGACTAATTGTTGGTGATGTGAATGGAAAGTTGAAATCCTTTTTCGCGCGCATTGAAAACGTAAACAAAAAGACCGGTCCCTTCGATTTGGTAATATGTGTGGGCAACTTCTTTGGATCGTCACCGGAAATAACCGAATTGAACGAGTACAAAACCAACCGGAAGACAAGTATGTATTTTTTTTTTTTAAATAAATGGTGTTCGATACAATAGTATTTTTTGGGTTTCTAGTTGCTATCCCGACCTACATTCTTGGCCCCAACGATGAAAGCTCCGCCAAGTTCTACAAAGATGCGCAAGACGGTGATTTATGCCCTAATTTAAGCTATCTTGGCAAACGGGGTATTTATGCGACTTCTAGCGGTCTCAAAATTGCCTATGTCAGTGGGACGGAAGCCGACGGTGATACTCCCAAGTCCGTACCTCAGTGGAAATTTACCAAAGAAGACGTTATGGCCGTGCGGGATTCTTGCTTTGCTAGCAAATCCAACATGGGAGATTTCCGAGGCGTGGACTTGTTGGTAACGTCTCAGTGGCCGGCAGGAATAAAAGATGAAGCAAAAACTAGTTCAAAACGCATTGCCTGGCTAGCGGATGCGATAAAGCCACGATATCATGTTTGCGGACTTAATGGAGACTATTATGAACCCCCACCGTATCGGTAAGTTTATAATGTTTTTTTTACTTGATGTCATATGCTTGAACTGTTTAACGATTGTATTAACATGGTTCCAGCAACAAACCGGACAAGAATACTCAGATGGAACTGGCGACCCGTTTTATCGCTCTGGCTGAGTTTGCAAACCCAGAGAAAAAGAAGAATATCTACGCGCTGAACGTAACCCCAGTTGAGAAAATGCGAATCATTGAACTAATTCAGAAAACCACCGACGAAGTGGTTTCTCCGTATGCTGACATGTGTTTCGTTGAAGGTGACAAAGGTGCAAAAGAAGATCGTGGAAATCAGTATTTTTATGATATGAATGCATACGACGATAGTAGCCGTAAGCGAAGAAGTCAAGGCAATCGCATCAGCGGAAACCAGGATCAAAAGCGAACTAAACCGTCCTTTGATCAGGAGAAATGCTGGTTCTGTTTGTCCTCCGGCTCAATTGAAAAGCATCTGATCATTTCGGTTGGCGAACATTTCTATCTGGCATTGGCAAAGGGACCGGTTAACGAAACTCATATCTTGATCCTTTCCATAACACACATTCAAAATGCGTCGCTGCTCTCTGTTGAGCAATGGGCCGAACTGAACAAATTCAAAGACGCCCTGACACAGTTCTTCAAAGATCGCGAGGAAACGATTTTTCTCTATGAGAGGAACTACAAAACGGGTCACCTGCAGATCAATGCTATCGGGGTGGATAACAATGTGGCATGGAAAATTCAGCATGTTCTGGAAGACAAATCCGAGGAGCATAACATAACATTGGAAACGGTGCCGAAACCTTTGGCACCATCGGATCTACCTCAAAAGTGCCCCTATTTTGTGGCGGAACTTCCCGATGGTAATGTCATGTTTACGAAGCAGATGAAAAACTTCCCCCTGCACTTTGGCCGTGAGATTATCTGCGCGGATAACCTGCTCAATTGCGAAGAAAAGGTCGACTGGCGCCAATGCAACCTGGCAAAGGAAGAAGAGGAAGCAATAACGATGAAGTTCCGCGAAAGTTTCAAACCGTACGATTTCACGGTTTAAGTCAAGGACGAAGAATTAGCTTAATTTTATTTGTTTTCTTGAATTTTTGTATTTGACAATTTCATCCTTAAAGGACTTATTCTCTTTTCGAAAGGGATATTAACTGTAAAATTGAATTTAATAAAACTATTTCTTTGACTGCATGACTGGGTAGTATTTATAGAAAAGTTTTCTGATAGTTATAGGCCGTTTGTAAGCTACCTTGAACGCTTTCGAGAGGTTTTATACTATATACAAATTGGTTATCAAAGCATGTTCTAATGTATTGCATTTCTGCACAAATTTGTTTCTAGTTTCGTTAATTTGAAAATCTACTTTCGGAATGTTAGCCTCTTGATGGAGGTCGGAAATGCAGGTATCGAAAGGACGATCTAGGATCATCCTCAATACCCTGTTCCTGTGAGTTTGTGCCCATGATTCCCACACCAGAGCTGCGTAGAAGATCGCAGGCGCAATGATTTGTTTGTAGACAGTCAGTTTGTTCACCTTAGAGAGACGAGATCTGCGGCAAATTAGCGGATACAAACACCTAACTAAATTGGAACACTTAACTACTGCCCTATCTATGTGCGAGCGGAAAAGGAGCTTCTCGACAAATAACATACCATACATAACGTACCAAGATATCAAATATATCATATATACCTATCATATATCATATTAATATAATATATTTGAAGATATGTTACTTCGGTGGACCACTCAACCCTTGTGCCATCCATTATTAAAGTACAAAAGGGAGCCGGTTTTAGTTTGGGAGATTGCCGATGGAGGAACATTATTGATTGGGTTTTGGAAGCATTGATTTTGATTTTCCCGGTGTTGGCATAATCATCAAAGGCATCAAGGCATCGTTGAAGCTTGTTTGTTATTTCACGAGGCATCCTTTCCTTGACGGTTATGGCGGTATCATCTGCGAACAGGAAGAACACGCAACCGTTGCCCAAGGGAGGAATGTCGGAAGTGTAGATGCTGTATAGCAAAGGGCCCAACAGACTTCCTTGCGGAACACCTGCTGGGATGGAAAATGTGTTTGAATTGCAACCATTCAACGATACGATCAAGTTCAGTAAGCTATAAGCAAAATAGCCAATCATACACTAATTCAGTTGAATACTAAGGCCCCTTTATATCACAGGGCCTATCGGAATGGACAATGGAGATAAGCCGTTTTGAAATTAGCGATAAAAATCCTTATAAAATGGGTTATAATCAAATTTCACTATGTGTGCGGGTAAAGTCGAGGGCATTTCAATGCGTTAGGACGGAATTGAAACTTGTAGAACGAATTTAGAATCAAGAATCAGTATCTCAATAATTTGTGACTCTTAATGAAATCCAACAATAGAAAGGTGAATAAATTTAGAAGCCATTTTTGACAGAAATATTCCGTTTTTTGTTCAAACCCGTTCATAAAGAAGAGGTAAAGTGCGGGTTGTGCTTAGTAGGACGGAAATTAGATCAAAACCCCTATCGTTTTCGAGAAGCGTGTTTGTTCACTGCATCGCCAAGAATTTTGCAAGGTCAGTGTAATGGCAGTTTATTATGTTGCTTTTGTCAATGTGAAATTATCTATTAGGTTTTGTTGGTACAACCATAGAGGTAACTCTAAGACCACTGGGTCCCGAAGAAAATCATTATTATTTTTGGCTCACTCAGTACCAGAACAACGGTCCCAAGCAGTCCCAAGCTATTTCACTCACCCCTGCATGTTCTGCATGAATCCACACACCCCTGATGTTATCTGTCAAACTTTCATAGCGAATCAAAACAAACATAGTGTAGTAATAGAATTTCAACTAGAATAGGGTACGTTAATCGTTTGCTTGGGACCAATAGGCTACTAAAGTGGTGAGCCAATTTAAAATCGTTAGTTTCGTATTGATTGTTGGTACAACGGTAGTACAACCATAGAGGTAACTCTAAGACCACTGGGTTCCGAAGAAAATCATTATTATTTTTGGCTCACTCAGTACCAGAACAACGGTCCCAAGCAGTCCCAAGCTATTTCACTCACCCCTGCATGTTCTGCATGATTCCACACACCCCTGATGTTATCTGTCAAACTTTCATAGCGAATCAAAACAAACATAGTGTAGTAATAGAATTTCAACTAGAATAGGGTACGTTAATCGTTTGCTTGGGACCAATAGGCTACTAAAGTGGTGAGCCAATTTAAAATCGTTAGTTTCGTATTGATTGTTGGTACAACCATAGAGGTAACTCTAAGACCACTGGGTCCCGAAGAAAATCATTATTATTTTTGGCTCACTCAGTACCAGAACAACGGTCCCAAGCAGTCCCAAGCTATTTCACTCACCCCTGCATGTTCTGCATGAATCCACACACCCCTGATGTTATCTGTCAAACTTTCATAGCGAATCAAAACAAACATAGTGTAGTAATAGAATTTCAACTAGAATAGGGTACGTTAATCGTTTGCTTGGGACCAATAGGCTACTAAAGTGGTGAGCCAATTTAAAATCGTTAGTTTCGTATTGATTGTTGGTACAACAGTGTACTTTGTATGTTTGTACAAGGTATTAAGAGTTACCTCTATGATCATAGTACGATGACTAGCATTGATCATCAATACAAAATGACAGACAGTTTATCAGCAGTAACTACTTGTTATACAATGTTTGTTTTGTCGCACGTCGTTTGATGATGATGTTGCAATGGTCGTCATTGTAGCTAAACCTTATGCAGTGATGGTGATAATTCTCAGCACTGGTTAAATGGAGACAACTTCTGTGTACAGGATGTATATTTTAAACCACCCACATAGCATAACAAATCAAATTTTAATCCGGGAATCAAAAAAATAATAATAAAAATGACACAAGATAAGTGAAAATTTTCAATTTCCTATAAAATAGTCATTTATTGATTACTTTTTGTTATGAATGATATTTATCATTGAACCTAGTGGCCATCTGGTTTTTCCACTCTTCGTTTTTGCTTCGGATATGCTTCTAGTTTGTAGGTATTAGGATATCGCAGCCGCAGATTGAGTTCCCCATTCATCTTCTTGTTGGGTGCTTCATCTTCACCCGATCGCTTTCGGTAGCGTAATAAGTAGCCAGGAAGTTCGAACCATCCACCAGGTTTGCCTTTTACTCCATCGCACGTTAGACCGCCTTGGCGATTATTGTAACACCGAACAGGTCGAGAGTTGGATTCGTTTGATTCGGAGGTATCCGGATCTCCGGCATGCGATGACAGCGGATACGTAGTACTAGAATACTTTACAGATGTTGAAGATTTGGCCGATTCGTGTGAGTGACTATCATCCCAGTAGTTGGAATCAGGGTAATCAAACGGTGGGGGATTAGGATGGAAATGCGCTCGAGGTTTTTTCGTGCTTGGTGTGGGGTGACCATAAGGTATTTTTGAAGTGCGATGGTGTCGATTCCATGCAACGTCATCCCAGGTGAATTCTTCATAGCTGTCGTACTCTTCAGAAGAACTATCCTTGGAGGTTCGTGTGGAATATTTAGTGCTAGTAGTGGGTTGCTGAGATGTAGACGAAACTGCGGTGGAACTTTCAGTTGTCTGTTTTGACGTAATCCTTGTGGTTGTGTAAGTTTTAGTAGATGTTTCATTAGTATTTCCAGTAGTGGGTTGCTGAGAAGTGTAGAAAATAGTTGTGGTACTTCCAGTTACCTGTTTTGACGTAATCGGTGTGGTTGTGTAAGTTTTAGTAGTTATTTCATTGGTATTTCCAGTAGTGGGTTGCTGAGAAGTGTAGGAAACGTTTGTGGTACTTCCAGTTGCCTGTTTTGACGTAATCGGTGTGGTTGTGTAAGTTTTAGTAGATGTTCCATTGGTATTTCCAGTAGTGGGTTGCTGAGATGTGTACGAAACGTTTGTGGTACTTCCAGTAGTCTGTTTTGACGTAATCGGTGCAGATGTGTAAGTTTTACTAGATGTTTCATAGGTATTTACAGTAGTGGGTTGCTTAGAAGTGTATGGAACTTTTGTGGTACTACCACTTGTCTGTTTTGACGTAAGCGATGTTGATGTATCAGTTTTGGTATTTCCAGAAGTAGCTTGTGTAGTTTCGGTTGGTAGTTTTGTTTCACTTGTTGAAGTTATTGAATAAGATTTCATTTTTGTCGTATCACTTGTAGCTGTCTCTGTAGTTATGGCTGTACTAATTTCTTCGGTGATCGTGCTGATTGAAGTGCTAGTTTCATTAGAACTGTGTCCTGTTGTAGTGTCACTACTTTCCATAGTTACTGTTTCTGACTCCCCTGTACTGCTTGTGTCTGTTACTGAAGTATGGTCATCAGTTGTTTCTGTTCGAGTATCTGGAGTAGTTGAAAACTCATTTGTAATTGTTCTTTCATCAGTTTGCGAAATTGTGGTATCTGTATCTGTTTCAGTTTCTTGAGAATCAGTTGCTTCGGTGTATGGAGTTGTACTGGATTCTGGTTCAGTTACTGAGCTATTTTCGGTTGAATCTGTAACCTCAGTTTCATCTGATGTAGTTGATTCCGTATCCGTGGCTATTCCAGACGTACTGGAAACGGTATATGGGCTCACGGTACTATCCGTAGTCTGAGTAGTTGGATATGTATTAGTGGAATTGATAGAAATCTCAGTTGTAGAGCTACATGAACTAGTAGTAATTGTTGTGTTTAGAGTGCTGATTGCGGTGGTATGTTTAGGAATACAGTTATCAATTTTCAAATTGTGTTTAAAGACATAATCCTTTACAATTTTGTCCCATGGCATATATTCGCAGTTAGTGTAGTATCCCATATAACAGCGTTCTTTTTCGATATCGTAATACATCATTGGGGGGCATCTAAAAATAATAACCAAATTATGTAGAAAAGATGGCTTAATCCTCTAATGATTAGAATTTCCTACTCATATCTGATTTGAAAGAATGATCCATCCATATTCGGTATACAACGATAAAACAGATTGCAATGACGTGATGTTCGAAATTGTCCTTGTACAATGCACTTAGGAAAGTAGTCGTAATCAAAGCGGTCCAGTATATCGTAGTGATCCACCTGTCGATTCAGAATATTAAATTAAGCATCGACCAATTTATATAATTTGAACCTTACGTAGCACTTTGTCATTGTTACACATCGGTGAAGATCGGGATGATACATAGTTTCATATGGGCATTTATACACGTATTGCAAGTAGTTATGGTTGTTCCTTTGACAATCGTAGTAGAATGAACAGTTGGAAGGAACCGGAAACTTGCCTGGAAAAATTCTAATCATAATTAGTTCATTCTAACACTTGGATGAAACATTACCATCTTTGTTGCAGTTAGGTATCATAACGTCACAGTTTTCCGATTCGTCGTAAATTCGGATTGTATCATGAGGTTTATTAGCAGGTAGTATGCATTGTCCTAAGGTTTCGTTGAATTTCTATAAAATCGTTGAATGTATAGTATTAAAACAAAAACAACACCTACACACTAAGATTTTTTTTTGCCGAGATGGGCATCACCTCGGTATTTTATTTTACTGGATCTCAGCGAAAAACTTACCGATATCCAGCAAAATGTATGTCTGTTAGCTGAGATCTCGGCAAAATTCCCGTTTTTTAGCTGAATCTCGGTTAGTTTTTGACTGAGATCCAGCGAAATAAAATGCCGAGCTGCTCGGTGGTGCCCATCTCGACGAAAAAATCTAGGTGTGTAAACTCCTTACCATATTTGTCGGACACATTCCGATCATGAGGCCGTTAGGGCTGCACAAGTAGTAGAAATCATTTCTGTTGAAGGTATGCAGACCACTATCTCCGTTGGCACATTTGGCAGACTGAAAATATTGACCAGAAATGTTTTAACAGCTAATGTCTAGTATTGCACAAAAGGATAGGATTGGTGACGATCAGACTTGCGAAATAAAGGCGATTAATTTAGTTCTATTTAACTTTTTTTCATGATTTAAACACCCTCCCACCTATGTAACAATAAGTAACCCTTGACAAGACCTTATAATATATCGTAACACTAACTCACTCTCCCCTCCATATTTTCAAGATTGTAAAAAATGACACTTAACAGTTTAAATCTCCAAGCTTCTCTCCTGATCCTACACACTTAATCGGCATTTACTTGTGCTAATATCTCTGCAAAATATCAGTTTGTTAGCTGATATCTCAGCAAAATGTTATTTTTTTGCTGAGTCTCGGCAATTGTTTTACTGAATCTCAGCAAAATAAATTGCAAAACTGCTCGGCTGTTGGAATCGCAGCCGAAAAAATGTGTACACTCAAAAATGTTACCCTATTAAGGAGGAGACCCCGGCGTAATGGTTAGCATCCATACCTCTCACGCCAAAATCACGAGTTCAAATCTCACCCCCAGACAAGTCACGAATGACCCAAGAGCGTTAAAGTGACTATAATAATAATAATAATAATAATAATAAAAAAAACCTCGCGTCAAACCCGATCCTAGCATTCAGCTATTCTTGTTAAACTACAAGAAATGAAATATCGGCTTCATAAAGGTAACGCAATTTAATTGAAAAAAAAAAAAAATACAACAGGCACGTCAATGTCCCATTTAAATTTTGTCGCCGAGATTCCAACAGCCGAGCTTCTTAATGCTTTCTAGAGCTTTAATTCAACAGTGTAGTTTGCTAGTAATGTTCTTAAGCTGTTACTGCTTTCAAATAAGTCGATTTTTAAATGTTCTGGCCTGTGCGAAAATATTACTGTGCAATTATTTTTAATTTGGGGTGTATTCGATAAAAATGGCACACCGAAAATCTTCTGTAACTTTGAACCTATGAATAAAAAACCAGAAAATTTGAGTAAATATTATTCATTGTGTATTGTTTACATCAAGTTACATAGTTGTTCATACTTCGTCGAAATAATAAATTGTCCATGAAAAAAAGTTGTGCACTTACAATCAAAATCCAGAGGCGTCCCATCGATGGATCGCTTGGAATTGCAAATACAACTGTGTGGGATAAGAACCTTCAAGGAGCGCCTGAGTGCCCGAAGGAAGGAAGGGAGTGGTTTTAAAAGTGGTTCAATGGACAGTAAAATTGCCAGGAAAGTGGTGTAACAGTTCAAAAACCCAAAAGTGGTGCAACAGTTCAAATGTCAATTCGAGATCTCGATAAAAAGTCCAAGGTGTTAGTCGATTTTGTGCAACCATGAAGCGTGCTGGGTTACATGTTTACAAGATGAAAAAAGCCCCAAACCGGAATGAAAAGCAAAACATCACTGCAAAAACCCTCGCCGGGTAATGTTACAGGAAGTTGCTCACCAAATCGTGTTGCATCGTGATGGATGACGAAACTTACGTCAAGGCCGACAACTTCCTGGGCAAGAATATTTCGTTGCCAAGTCTAAGTTCGATATTCCCGAGGATGTTTGAAAGAAGAAATTATCGAAAGTTGCAAAGAAGTTCCTGATCTGGCAGGCGCAGCGTCTTCACGGTACAACGAAAGTAAACGAAAGTTTTGCACTCACTTGTTCTCCGCTTGCTATGTGCGAATATGTAAAAGCCCATTTGTACACAAGTTTGAACTCAAGTACAATGAACAACACACTTAGAAATAACTAACTTTACACGTGACTTAATTCATCTTTGACACAAAGAATCAGACGTAAACAAATATTTCATGTAAAATTAAGTGTTCCGAGACTGAAAAGTTCGTTGCTCGACGAAAAGCACGTTTGATTGAATTTAATTGCGCATCTGTTATGACTCAATTTTATGTCAAAATTGACGCTCGTATATGTCAGTCTTAGAGCACCTAAATTTACATGATTTTTTCTAAGTGTGAAGTTTACACCTGGGTATTGCGAACTCTGTCGATTTAATTTTTCAACTGACATAAACATATTGAAAATCTTTCGAAGCTTGAAATTGTTTTGCTGAAACAGCTCACGAAATCGTATATACATGCTGTCAAATGAACTTTTGGTTACTTCTTCTCTGCTCCACAAATAATGTATATACATGGTGTTTGGTGTGCACCTGCCCACAAAGCTCAAATGGCTCTTATATAAAGTTTGATTTAATTCTTGTTTCAGCAATTCGTAACCCAGTTTAGGCATTGTTATTAATATCAAATAAAAACACTTATTCGAGCATCGCGTTTGATGATTTACATCATCCGCCTACTAAGGTTGATGTTTCGACAGTCTCATAATTATAATTCTTAATTTGTTTTCAGTAGGTGGCAACACCTTTACTTGTGGTTCAAACAGTTACTACCTACATGACTTCTGAGCTCTTTTGAATGTTTGGCTCCCGTTTGACAGTTTGACTTGGCTCCCAGATGACAAGCATTTTGAGTTAGTTCGCAGTACTCAGGTTTACACCCATGCGCATGTGCTCATATGTGAGACGGCTTGCATAAAGGGCAAACGAATTAGTTCCTTTTCCTTCTATGAGTACTTCTTACATGCCTTTAACCTTAACACTATCCACGCTTTAAAATATACGAGAGGTCAAGACGTAGGTCACAAGGTTTATGGTTCGAGTTCCGGTCTGCAGCGTTTTTTTTTTTTGTTATTTTATAATTTTATAATTTTTCTCCGTGCACAAACCCATGCAAACCTATGCAAACATCTGCGAATACAATTGTGTACATCGATACACCCGAGTGTATTGTATGAATTGTACCAGTATACAAAATTAGGTGTAAGTTCAAGCTGAACATTCGCTTTGATTTTTGTGCACAAGCTCAACATGGAACATGTTTTCGTGAAGACTGGACAGGTGATTTGCGGATGTGGTGAAATAAGCGCTCCCTTCATCACTTCTGGAACAATCAACGGTGCGATTTACACGGAAAAGTGCATTAACAACCGTATCTTTCCATTCATAAGGAAGCACAAAGGATCGACTCTGTTTTGGCCTGATCTATCATACTGCGACTACGTTTGAAACGTTTTAGAGTGGTACCAACAATCAATACGAAACTAACGATTTTAAATTGGCTCACCACTTTAGTAGCCTATTGGTCCCAAGCAAACGATTAACGTACCCTATTCTAGTTGAAATTCTATTACTACACTATGTTTGTTTTGATTCGCTATGAAAGTTTGACAGATAACATCAGGGGTGTGTGGATTCATGCAGAACATGCAGGGGTGAGTGAAATAGCTTGGGACTGCTTGGGACCGTTGTTCTGGTACTGAGTGAGCCAAAAATAATAATGATTTTCTTCGGGACCCAGTGGTCTTAGCAACAATCAATACGAAACTAACGATTTTAAATTGGCTCACCACTTTGGTAGCCTATTGGTCCCAAGCAAACGATTAACGTACCCTATTCTAGTTGAAATTCTATTACTACACTATGTTTGTTTTGATTCGCTATGAAAGTTTGACAGATAACATCAGGGGTGTGTGGATTCATGCAGAACATGCAGGGGTGAGTGAAATAGCTTGGGACTGCTTGGGACCGTTGTTCTGGTACTGAGTGAGCCAAAAATAATAATGATTTTCTTCGGGACCTACTAGTCTTAGAGTTACCTCTATGGTCTTAGAGTTACCTCTATGGTGGTACCAACAATCAATACGAAACTAACGATTTTAAATTGGCTCACCACTTTAGTAGCCTATTGGTCCCAAGCAAACGATTAACGTACCCTATTCTAGTTGAAATTCTATTACTACACTATGTTTGTTTTGATTCGCTATGAAAGTTTGACAGATAACATCAGGGGTGTGTGGATTCATGCAGAACATGCAGGGGTGAGTGAAATAGCTTGGGACTGCTTGGGACCGTTGTTCTGGTACTGAGTGAGCCAAAAATAATAATGATTTTCTTCGGTACCCAGTGGTCTTAGAGTTACCTCTATGGTGGTACCGAGCCACGGAATCAATTACGTGCCAAAAGATCTGAACCTAGCAAATTCACCGGAACTTCGCCCAATTGAAAAATTCTGGGCAATTATAAAGACGGAACTTCGCAAACTTCCCAAAACTACACCCAACCGGGGGATGTAAGATTCGCTTACAATTATGTGAGATTCATCATCAGAGGATGTTAGTGGAGACCGCATGAACCGAGGCTGCGATATACCTTGCTGCGGTCCAATGCAAGAAAATTGGAGACCGAAAAATGTAGAGTGTATTAGCATAGAGGTAACTCTAAGTCCAGAAGGTCCTGAAGAAACGAGCTCAAATTTTTGGCTCAGCTCTGGTACTGGTATCTTCGGTCCCAAGCTAATCGATGCACCCCTCGAAACTTACGAAAATCCACGAACCCCTCATTTTATCTGTCAAACTTTCATAGCGAATCAAAACAAACATAATGTAGTACTAGAATTTTGACTAGAATGGGATACGTTAATCGATTTGCTTGGGACCAATAGGCTAGTCAAGTAGTGAGCCAATTTAAAATCGTTAGTTACGAATTGATTGTTGGTATTAGTGAGGTAAATTAGTTATGTCGAAAAAAATAGGAAACAGATTGCCGACTGGACTTCGAGGTTCGACCACGAACGTTGCGATTATCAGACCTGTGCTTTCTCCACTTCTCCATGCTTCTGAATATGGATAGCCTAAAAGCAAACATGAAGCGCTCATTTTCTCGCATACTCGACTTCGTATGCTTTTTCTGCTGGAGAGATTCGAGGCGAGTGTGTGCGTCGTTCTACAATGTTTTACAATGTGCGTCGTTCTACAAGCTTACTGGTATAGTCGAAAGTGTAGATAGAACACGAAATAAAAAAGACAAAAAACCTTTACATGGCCT